AGTGTTTCACGGATTTTGAAACCTTTATCAGACTCGAACTTTGGTACTCATTATCGTAAAACTAATTAACGATTCACAAACTAAGAATAGCTTGTTAACACTAAATGTTAACACTAAATCTTTCTGAAGGTCGTAATTTCCTTCATAAATATGTTATTAAGTTCCGAACTTTGTACCTTTGAAGGAATGACGTGTACCTTGTTACCTATGTAAATGACTTTTATTTACGTAGCCAGACAGACTAATTTGCCTAAATTATAGTCTCGACGTCTCATTGAAAAAACCTTTTAATAAATAAATGTGAGTGTGATAGTTATTTGTTTTGTTTTCACATCGTAATTTTAGCTCGATTTTATAGTGATTTTGTTATCTGTGGACTACATTTTTTTTTCTTTGACCACGACAAAGGCTCTTGGAACAGCCAGTAATAAAAAATAGGATTACGTCTTTTTTTTTAAGGGGGGAAAATCATCGAATTACTGCTCCCGCCCGGGTGAGGCGGGAGGGAGTGTCAGACTCTTACTGACTAAAAACCACCCCGTTCCTTCTCCTGCACGTCGAGCCGGAGCCTCGGTTACCCGTTAGGTTCTCCTACTTGATATCTAAGAATTTACGCATTGGAATGCTAAAACAAGGCTATGAACTGTGGACTAGACAAATATTAATTCTTTGATGGAATCGAACTCCGCGTCCACGTGTAAATGACTCAGCTAGTTACAGATTTTTGCCCCTACTTTATAATAGCTAATACCCCGATTCAATTTTAAATAAAAGATTGCTTATTTGATAAGATAATTAAAAACTAGATGACTTTACTTCAAAAATGTAGTATTGAGATATCTTGAGTTTTATATTTCTTATTAAACTTTGGTATTTCATCAGTGACTATTGTACTTTATGTTGACAATACGTCGACTAAGTAAATACTGCATTATGCTAACATACATAAGTGCCAACATGAGTAAATTCTCTAGAAAGTATGACGTCATTTTAACGACTTGACTTGGCTTGAACATCAGATAAAAATATGAACATCACGATTTTTAAAATGGGTCGAGTTTTTTGGAAAAACCGTAAAGAAATATGAGAATTTTGTTTACAGACTCGGCTTCTAGAAGATCATAGACAATAATTTCCATCTAAATTACTTGAATATCTAATCTTTTGCACAAAAAATATTTCCCAAATAGAATATATTTTATACCTAATTAATTTGGCCAAATTTGAATTAAAACTAATAAAACCTAAATTAACATTTAGCATTTTTGAAGTTCATTCATTAATTATTAAAAATAATTTATTGCGGTACAGGGGACATAAGACACAGGCGAAGGTTAGAGTGCATTGACAACAATTCAGTAATTATACCTAAACAACCAATTATGGTAGAACCATGAACCTATGGCAAGTTGTTCATAAAAGCTTAAGGGTCACAGGTCAACGGTAATTAGTTATTAGTTTATAGTTTGTACACTGTACACACAACAATAGTGTTTGTGAATAATATTATACCTGCAGTTTCTATGTAATGTCTGTCTTCGTACAATGTAATTGATTGTGTTATGTTGGCCATACTGGCAACTAAATACTTTTTTCTGAATATTAGTTAATATGAAAAATTAAAAAAGTTTAGTTATGTTTCTGAGTGTACCCTAAGCCTTACTTTTTTTATTTTTTTTTTAGACCAAAGTATGCAAAAGCAATGTTTTCATATACAAATATAATTTTTACTCAAGTAATTATGTCATAGCAGGTCACTTTGACGGTTGGTTGTTTGTAAATATAGTTTAATTAAACACAGAATACTGATAACATCCTCCAGATGTTACAAACAATATAAAATTCTTCATACTAGATATCAATAATTTTCATGAATTCACAATAGTTGACTTGCAATAATTAAATCAGTGTGGTAGGTTTAAAAGGACAATGTAATGATAACTCAATATAATGATTGACCTAAAGACAACAATAGTTACTTTTTTTTTACTGTGTCTGAACTGTCAACAACATTTATTATGCATCGTATGTACCTGTACCTATATGTAGACTGTTCATAAAGTAGTATTAGATATTTTAAACGCAACATTTGGATTCCAGACTTTTTCAAATTGAAAAAAAATATACTTAACACTGGACAATCAATTCGAGCTTTTCAACCAATCTGTGCCATATGTAATATTTTTAAGTACATAGAAAATTTAAGTAAATAAAATGAATCAAATAGAATAATTTAAGGCTACATATTAATCACATGTAAATTAATAAGGATGTTACAAAAAGAAATCAATAAAAAAAATGTTCCTATAAAAAATCATAATTGATTACCCAAAATTCTCATGGGCATAAAAAAATTATGGTAGTCAAGGCCAGGATTTTAACCCAACCAGTTTCTATCTAACTATTAATTACTTTAAAATAAAACTTCATAAAAACAACTAGTCGAAGTCAAAGGTTATTTAAGACAAACATGGGGATTATGAGTCTACCTATGCATTTGTTTTAAAATGAAATCTAATTACAATATATGAAGTAGGTAGTATTGTCATGCTCATTGAGTTGCCAGTCATCCTCAAAATAATTTCAAATGAAAGTAGGTAAATGACCCTCCACTTTCTGAAATAGTTGCCAACTGATGCATGATGAATATCAAATTGCACATTAGTCTATTTTTTTACCATCATAGAGAACTTTAGTCAGAGAGAAATTAGAATGGCATCTCAAACTTTATGAAGCTAATAAAACAATAAAAAATACTCACTTCCTGGAGAGACATGGTGATTGTTGATAGATGATACAGCTAGCTAACCTAAAAACACAGAAATAATGTTATAACACCACAGTTTCAAAATGTTGCCGGTACAGTGATAGCCGGCTGAATATAATGACACTTAACATCATAAAAAAGTTTACAATAAAAAACAATTGATTTGACATTTTATTGCAAAAATCAATTTGATGTTATCAAAACAAAAGAAATATCAAATTAATCTAAAAGCAAATCGATTTGGTGAGTAGTTTTGAATATTTTTACTATTAAATTTTAAAATACACGTCACTAACTTACAGTTAAACAGAAGCGTGTGCTCGGCACGAAAACTCGTTAGGAACTGATCGCGTAAATCGACTTGGGCAAGCACAATTCAAACGACCACAAAACTAATATAAAATGTGGTGACGAATCCGATATCAACACCACGTAATGCAAACGATTATCCTTATCGTATTGTTATATCTTTGATCAGTAAAAAATTGGGAATTCTTAGGTTATATACCGTGAAGAAAATGACTGAAAATTTGACATTGGCGCATGACATAAAAATGACATTTCACGACAACAAATCCGCAGGGATGAACGGCAGAGATGACGCTTGACTGATGTCTCTGATATATTAAAGTTGAAATATTTAAATACTATATTGTAGACACTAGATACATTTACTTAACATTCATTAAGTATGTACCTCAACTTATATGAAGTATGTATTCCGGATTCCTTATTTTTTATTAAGAGCTTTAATCTGTGGGGTCAATAGGCATGGGACAAAATTAAAAAGGGGTCAAAATTTAATTGACAATTTTTTTTTGTTTTTATGGAATAAGCCGGTAAACGAGCAGACGGGTCACTTGATGGTAAGTAATCGGCTCCGCCCATAGACACTTGAAACACCAGAGTCGTTACAAGTGCGTTATAGGCCTTTTGGGGGATTACGAATTTGAGGATTGTTGGACATTCAAATTGAGGAGGGGGTTAATTTGATTTAAATGAAATGAGATAGTAGGTATCTATTCAGAGTATTAAAGAGAAAGTTGTGTCGTTAAAAAACCTTTCTTTATTTAACAATGTCCTATGTCTCAATACTGTATGTCTCCCAGTTAGAACAGGGTCCTCCGCCACGATTTGTCTTGAATGTGACGCTTCACCGCGCTCCACGTCATTCTGAATAATTCCGACGTTCTTGCTTCTACTAGTTCCGAGTATGATGCAACGCCAGATATGACTTAAATATAGTCATAGGTACCTACTACCTAGTATATCCTTAAAATCATCTAACTCTAATCATTGTACACAATATTTACTAGATATTAAAATTTTACTACAAGCGTTAGATTCCGTTTAAATATCGTAACGTCATGCATTTCAATCTCCGAAGGGGTAGGTAGAGCCGTAGAGGTGGCAATACTATGAGTCCCATGAAGGTTCATGTAGTCGTGGGTCGGGTAGGCAGTTAGGTTCGTTGATTAAACTCTCCTCGAAGAGTGGCTAGAGAAACGCCACGTTCTTACCTTCCACCATACACAGGTGCTTTCCAGACACTACCTAAAGTTTTAAAAGGTGCCCAAAAGAAACCGCTTGTTCGTCAGTTGCACTTGCAACCGCCACACGACAAACAAGAGTCTGTTTGATTAAAGACAAATATAATATATCACACATGGTGATATCATTTTTACATTCTTGCACGTTTGGTGTTTGGTGTAACAGAAATTAAAGATATTTAGGTCACACTTCCATAATGCGTCCTTGTTGATGCCCATCAAATGGTTCATGCCCATCAATTCTTGTTGGGCTTGTTATAGTTACGATAAAAACATTAGTTGCCTACATTTTCCTGGAGTACTTCCTTTTAACTTAGTTTAACGGAGTCAAGCTTACCTCGTAATTGGACACATAACATATCATAATTATTAGGAAATCAACTTCGTGTTATTATTAATTCATTTTACTTCTAAAATCTTTACCTACTAAAATACTAAACTAAACTATTTACTAAAACTAAACTGATTTTATATTAAACTACAAAAATTACTAATTTGGGAATTGATCTCCTTGTTTAGCAGTTTCTTGTCGTACCTACCATTAAATGAGTTTTTTTTTACTTACAAAGCTATGCTTTGTAAACAGGACTAAATTGATAGTCTTTGGAAATAAACTAATTGGAATTCCGCTTCTTTGAATAAGAAGTTTTCACTGTTTTACTTATTTGAATAAAAATCAATAGTCCTGCAAAATTGGGAAGCGTTTATTGGTAATAATTTATTAAATTAAAGTAGGTGGGTATCCTTAATATAGACATGATTATGCGTATTTAGGAGCCAGTTTCTCAGCCATCTCGATGTACTGTTTCTTAGCGTCATCCTGGGAGATTCCCTTGCGGCTGGTCCATGCCTTGAACTTGGCATTCTCTACCATGCCGCTGGGCTCGGCTGAAACAAATAAATTGCCATTAGTTTTGTTTTCCCTACTCTAAATTTTTTGAAGGCGCCTCATTCATCATTTCATCTTTATTCGGATTTTATAATTGGAGATGTGCGTGCTAGATATAAATTCAAATAAATAGAAGTCTGGTTGACCCCCTATTATATGGAATTTATAGCATAGCTAATTAAAGTGGATGTTATTTACATTGTATCTGCACCTCTGTCTACCCCTTTGAGCATTACAAGACGTGGCATTATGTGAATTACAATCAGGTAATAAATTACTCTATCACTATAGGATTGCGTGTTCAGATAATTTACCTCTAGTATAAGTAATTTATCAACTGTTTCAGATAACATTCACAATTTTCCACGAAATAAGTCTACTTTTTGAAAATTATTTCATTATTCATTACATTATTTTTAAGTTGGAATAATTATAGTAACTAGTCTGCTTTGTAGGTCAAGAGGTTACAAGTGTAACTGTAGAATAGGAGATCCGATACCTAGGATTGCTCCTGGTTAGGTAAAGTTTCTATGATTGGGATCTTTTCAGGTTTTTGAAAATTATTGTATTAGTAGCATGGAGATTGTTTGTGTTGAGTGAGTGTTGTGTGTGGGACTTTTACATACAACTGATAAAAAGTGTGAGTTCCACTGAATACATAAGTATATTGTGTTAATTACCGATGTTGACATCTCCGATGGTAGCCTGCTTGTACAAGGAGTACAGGGCAAGGTTCTCATCATTGCTGGGAGTGGTCTTCCAGTTCCTGACGGAGGTGGCGACTTTGGAGAATTGCTGGAAATGTAAAAATTATACAGTTAACTTGATGAATTTTGAAAATATTTGTTTTATCACATTACTTAGTTGGGAAAACGAAACTTCTTCAGAATAAATATTATTGTGACTGCCTCGTTGGCCAAGTGTTCGCAATTGTGACTGCCGGGCAAGGGGTTCCAATCCGAGGTCGGGCAAAGTATCACTGGGTTTTTAAAAAAATCTCAGTAGTAGCACAGAGTCTGGAATTGTGCCCGGTATATGGCAATAGGCTCACCCCCTATTACATGTGACTCATAACATAAATAGTGAAAAGTGGGTGTTACATTGTACAGTGGCATAATGTGCACCTCTGCTTACCCCTTCGAGGATAAAAGGCGTGATATTATGTGAATCTTGTTATGTAGGTACTTCTAAACCGGCGAGTGTAATGTATGCAATTTGTTTTCTTTATGAGACGTGCCAAAATGTCGTTAGGTAAGTCTGAGATTTGAAATCTCAATTTACCGTAACTGTGAATGAGAAAAACGCGTAGGTATGTACATCAGCCGATTAAAAAAAAAATTCTACAACTTTCTGCATAAAAAGTGAACAGCATACATTATTTGAAATCGTTATTAAGACGAAAATTAGTAACTGTATAATCTTAAATCATTCAAAATGTAGTTTTGTGCCTAAATCCCCATACGACTAAAGTCAAAAATCGATCCAAAATAATAGTAAATCCCCTTTTTTACAAAATAGACTCTAGTTTTATATTTATTAAGTAGATACCTCTATATTGGACGTAAAATGATTCAGTATTTTAAGTAGATTAGGTAGTTAAAGCTGACAAATTATTTGATAATTTTTAGGTAATTAACATGTTAAAAAACTGATTTTGTGATAATTACGCATGAGTATGTCAGCTACCAGCTAGGTCCATAGTACGTAGGTCGCACGTGTTTTCTATTGAAAATAATAACTACCTAAAATACCCACCTAGATATGAACTGTTCTAAGGACACGCAACTTGATAGTGTATCTATCCAAGTTTAATTAAAAACAATATCAAGATTGTTTATTTGTGATTAGCTGCTAATTGTTTACGAACCTCGAAGTAAGTAAAACACTTAATTAATAAATAGGCAATATTTGCATAATTTTAATTCAAAAAAGAAACTTCACTTACCTCGTCGAGAGACATGATTTTGATTAGTTGAGATCTGTAAGAAATAAAAATATTAAATGTATGCAGCACTTTATATAGGTACCTACTCGTATAATCAACAAGATTATTTCCTAAAATCCAAGAGATAAATAGATATACGACCACAGATATATTTATACGACACAGGGGACTAAATACCTATACTTTGTGGGCCCGGCTTTAATACCTTAATTCCTCAGCTTAGGATAAAAAATATAGTCGTTATTGCAGTATTTGACTTCTGCCTAATCTATTAAAAAAATCAACTATAAGTAGATAATAAATACCTTAAAATGTTGTGCATTTATTACTATGTAAGTGCTTAGATGACCTAATGTAGCAACTACTGGTTGTTTTGTTGTTGTTTGTTGCAAATTATAAATAAATAAATAATATTGCAACTTGTGCGCTGAATAAATCATTTTCAGGACAAAAAAATGATCTAAAACCAACACCGACAAAGGTCCAATTTGCGGTCTGCAGACATTGAACGTGTGGCGTGCGCACGCACATTCCTTGGGTTCATCGACCGGTATCAGCGGAACTAGAGCTGTTAGTGCACTTTCCAGCGTTCATTGACAGTGGAATCGCGATGTAGCGGAAATCCGGATAGATTTGCACTGTGTCCATTAGGGGAATGTCGGGAATGAAATGGAGAGCATTTGGGCTTTATTACAGGAATGTTATACACAGTTATATTGTTTTACCAAAAATTTAACAAGATATCTACTACGTTGGAAACCGCCAGGTACATTTTTGGAACAATATCTAAATATGTCAAACACAAAATAAAAAAATCTTTAAATGAACGCAGTAGTGGTATAATGTATTGTGGGGTACTTACCACAAGGTAGAGAAGCTAGGTCGAGATCGCAAAGGATACTGAACAATTTTGTGTGAGACCCTTTAGTTAAATTTCGTCAAATATATGGCAGTTCTCGTCAGGGTTGTCAACATTTACGATAGTCATAATAGATAAAATTATAAATGATTAGCTGAAGAGAAATCTATTGATTATCTGATCAAGGCTAATTGTATGGTCATTGTGTTATTGATTTGTCCAATTAATTACAATAATTAGGTAGCTGTGATTCATTAGTTTTTCGTGACACATATATCAATAATTAATCAGCGTGCCTAGATTTGGATGTACCTACCTATGTGATAAATAGGATTATATTTTTAACTCCAAAGTTCTTTGTTTGATATAACATCATCGTTGTCATCACGTTTAGTCCTTTGCACTGTTCTAATTATCTCTATATTCTATTGAATAGGTATAAAAAGATTGCAAAAGTCACTTAGGTACGTCTATAGGTATTTTATTTTCATTTTAGAGCTAGTACCTAGGTACAATATGATTTTACGAAGTCTTTTTTGGATAAATAATTTAATTTTATGTCTTTTGACCCCTCGGAGCACATAAGGGGGTCAAAAGACATATTATTTCAAAGAAGTAATAGTTACAATTATTTTGTAAAAAAACTACATACTTTAATAAAAATGGGTATTTAGTTAATTTGCAAACCACCTCATTGTATTTAGAAAAGTGTAAACCCTAGCTAGGTGCAATATAAATATACGCTATCCGCTATCATGTAATAAAATTTCGAATCTTTATCGCATGGACATAATCCACATTTAAGATTAGGTGATGTTATGGTCCAAATAAAACTCTTGGTGGGATATAAAATATGTTATGATAAGGTATAAATCCGTTTCGTGGTTATTCGCACCTGTTGTTGGCTAACTAACGGACGAAATTAATAACCAACCTAACTCCAAAGTATCCGGATCATTTTAGCCGGTTTTTGACGGAAATTCAATAGAACTATTTTCAAAAATCGATTTTGTACCATTATCTTGAGAGCCACGCTTGGGCACGAATGGACCGGTTCAATCGGAGTACGAGTAAACCACGGCCTCACAGAAAACTGACGTGATACAACGCTTACGTTGTGTGAGTGAGGTTACTGGAGGCCCAATTAACTCTAATCACCAATTCCCAATAAATCCTCAAATTCATAATCCCCAAAAGGCCGGTAACGCACTTGAAACGCCTTTGGTGTTCCAGGAATCCATGGGCGACGCCGATTACTTACCACCAGGTGATCCGTCTGCTCGTGTACCGGCTTATCCCTTGAAAAATGATCAGTTATTTATTTCGCCCGTAGGTAAACCAAATAGTCGGTGTAGTCATGGCAGAGTATGCCATGGCATATGGTTGCTACAAAGTACTTAGAAGAGATTTGTCACCAGTCAGAATGCTCGTTTTTTGACGAAGACTGGACAGGTCTCTGATAAACCTGACACTTTCAAACTATGGTCTCCAACCTGTCAATAAAGCGACGAGATCCTGAGACTGTGGCAAACCTCTTTTAAGTATGGAGGGCTTACCTATACTCCAACAGTGTACTATTGATGGTTGTCTTACTTATTACCTAGCCATGGAAAATTTTGCTGCTCCTTTTCGTCCCCTGTAATGACGTACAGTTACCTATTTGTTTGCAGCTGTAGCCAAATGCCATTTAGCGCTTGTCTACATGTAGAATAGAAGACAAAATTATATGGAATTGACGTAAATTTTGACCCTTGTCAGTGTCATTCCCATACATTTTGATTTCTACTCTCTCTGTAGACAAGCGCTAAGGTAGCGCTTGGCTAAAGGCCTTGATTAAGAAATCATTAGTTCACTTCTCTATGTTTAACTTACAATGGTTCATTAATAGCTTTTTTTACTACTGTAAATTGACCACTGTAGAAGTATAACCAATAACTGACTGTGTTATGGTATACTGTCATATAGAAATGGCACTTAGGTATTATATATGTTTCTATATACTGCAGTTACTTATGTTTACTTAATGGTATCTAAGTATGTACTTATTATAGGTATTTAGATTTTATTCGTTGCTTCACTTGTTACCACGGTTAGTGCAGTAGTGACTGCTGGTGGTGGGTTCAAATGATTGTGTTCGTGTATAATTTAAAGTGAATAAGTAAATATTCTGTTTTAAAATAATTCCACGCCAAAGAAATGTATTCTATCATTTTATTTATTTAAACTGTCAAACACCAAGCGGTCACCGGTGACCGCAACCTATTGTTCTATAATTGTGTCTACAAAACCGGTACTCGACGAGTTAAACTTTAATTTATGTACACAGAAACAAGTAGTGGCACATAAGAAGGGCATTAATGCCATATGGCATTCTCTCCCAGTCAACCTTAGGAGAACCTAACGGGTAACCGGGGTTCCGGCTCGACGTGCAGGAGAAGGAACGGGGTGGTTTTTAGTCAGTAAGAGTCTGACACTCCCTTCCACCTCACCCAGGCGGGAGCAGTCATTCGATGATTTTCCCCCCTTAAAAAAAAAAAGGGTTAAATAGGAAATCGGCGAAAAAATAGGGATATGTAACTATAAGAAACAAATAGCATAGACTTTATAAATATATATTTTATCTACAACTTAAATAAAGAAAATCATTTGTTCATTGAATTACTCACTGTGTTTTTATTGATATTACTTCAGACAATTGCGTCAGAACAACTAACATAAAGAGACTGAAGAATCAAAGAACCCAATCCATTTTGCTAGTATAGTAATTTTAGTTTTAAATTATTTTCTTAGTCATCTAGGTTGGCCTTGGTGGCAACGACGCGGGGGATTTTAACTGCTATCTACCTACTTATATATTTGATAGTCGGATATTAAGTAGTGTTCATTTCGTTATAACTTAAGTAATTAAATATTATTCTTTGAACCCAAAATATCTACTTACTTTGATTGCAAAAGACACATAATCATGGTTAGTTAGAAGTTCAATAAATGTGAAGACGCTAAGGTTGTGATGAACTAATCAGCTAATACAAAAAGAATCTAATTCTACTTGACAGGCATACCTGGGTTGCGGAAAATTCAGAATACAGACATTGACTCTTCTATTGTCCCCTTCCTCCTCCCCAGGAGGTGGGGCTACATGAGGGGTTTCCACATTGGAGACAAAGCGACTACGGATTAAGAGTTAACCCCCATCTAGTCGAGATGGGATCAGGACAGGAGAAATTGTTAAGCATAGGCATTATTTTATCATTTTATTTAAAAATTGGTATTATAAAAAAAAATTACAGTGTAATAAGTGGTAAGTACCTCAAAATTAAACGGTTAGAATAATTTGTCCAAACTGTCGGCAAAACACTATCCAAAATAATCATAATTATTGATAGGACACTCATTTACTTCGCAGAACGTATTTAATAGGTAATTTTCAGGGAAAATTAGTTGATAGCTATTAGATAATGATGTAATCATGTTGATAAAACTGTGTCGATAATAAATATTTTATTTGTTTTAATCATAACAATATAATACGTTGTTATAAAGAAATGAACTAAGCTAATGTTACAATTAAAGGGGACCGGGTCATTCCTCACTCCAAAAAATTTTTGGGAAGGCGGTTAAAAGACTAGGTAATTCGATAGTTTTACTTGCCTGGGTTGATATAAAAAAGTCGTTGAACTTTAATGGGACATGAAGAGAACCCACAGTTTTCGGCAACCAAATATGCTGCTGAAAATAAAATTCTGATCACAGGCTGCCGTGAACTGTAAGGGTTAGGTACCTACCGCCCCTACCGGGGCCCCGAGTTGAACCGATATGTAGGTTTAGTTAGTTTTTACTCCCTCTCATCTCGCCTAAGGCGTGAGGTTTAATTAACGATATTCCCACCTCAAAAAAAGAATATGCAAGCAATGATGCACATTTTTTCAATGTAGGTAACTAGGCAGTACGTACCTTGCCTATTTAGGTACACACCTTTCACCATATATGACATTTCTTCTTCTTCCTAGTCGTTTTCTTCATTACTGAAGGTCGTGTCTAGTCTGGTGCACGCGTCACTTGATGCACAACCTCTTCCAAACGCCCCTGTCCTCTGCGGTCTTTATGGCTTGTGGAACTATCAGGCCGGTTAGGTTTTTTACAGCATCCGACCACCCGGGTAGGTGAGCGACCACGAGGTCTTTTCCCGTTAACCCGACCAACAACCACAAGCTCCTCCAGATTGTTGGGGTCTCTACGCGCAATGTGAATACGCGCAATGTATGACATAACAATGCAATAAAGAGTGAGACTATTGCTATAAATGAGGCAATAATAATTCCAGACTCCACCGAAGACCCGGGGTTCTGGATCGAAGACCAGGTAGAGTAGAATGGAGTGGTTTTTGTCAGTAAGAGTCTGACACTCCCTCTCGCCTTACCTAGGTAGAGCGAATCATTGGATGATTTTCCCCCCTTTAAAAAAGAAAAGACACCATCTTATTACAGTAAACTATAGCTTATCAACCTGTGGGTCGCGAAGCCTCTCCAGGGGGGTTTCGAAGCTTTTATAGTGGAGCTGCTATAGGTTGAGAATATGATCATCTATAATTAAACAAAAAGTTTAAATAAACTTATGGGAACTGTTAAAGTAAAGGTTGCGCTTGTTTTTCATTCACCAAATTCTACCATCGTGGATCCGTTTTTGCTACATTCACAATTAAATCGTTATCCAAATTTAAAAGATTTCTAGCCTTGCTTTTTATTTGGGCCCTCTACGAAAATGTCAACTTGCACAAATAAGAGGTGGCTAATGTATTGGATACAATATTAGTTACCTAGTTAAAAAAACAACGGTGGGGGGGGGGTCGCGACATATTTCTTCATACTAAAAGGGCCATGGTACGAATAAGGTTGAATAAACTGCTGTAAACCGACGAAAGTGGGTAAAGATAATTAGGTACCAAGGTACCTACTAACTACCTATATGTATAGGTCATTAATCTCATTCGGGGAATTACAAGCAAGTTTTAGGCATTTGATAGTAAACGTAACTCGCCAAATGTCAGTAAGTACTTAGGTACATGTTTTTTCAAATATTAT